TTACGACGTGATTGAGAGCATTTGTGATTCAGATGATGGATGTGGTCAGCAGATGCATCCCCTAATGTTTGTGGGGATTTGAATCTGCAGCCCTTTTCTCTTTGCCCACACTTCAAAAACCTGAAGTGCAAAAGGAACCAGGGCTATCCTTGTACATGTTAGGCCCAATTCAGATCGTATTTTGTGTGCTTTCTACCAGACATTTTTCTTTTGGCCACTGTGAAATTCAATTTAGATGAACGTCATAAACAATCCTGAAATGAAAAGGAACCACAAAAGGTCAAGCTGTAATCTTTGGTTGAAAAAGGAGTAAGGGACACGTTTTCCTTTGTTTGAGGTAGTAAAGTGCATGGGCTTATAAAAGTTTTAGGCCTTCCTTGTCTCCAGTAATTTAGGTCATTTTAGTATCGGCTAGGTAGAAAAGTCATCTTTTCTTTTTCCATATGAATCCTTTAAGTTCTGCCTCATATCAACATTTTACTTTGTCCCTCAGACAAAAATAAAACATAAATATTTTCAAACCTAACAGATGACTAAGGAATAGCTCATCCCCTCCTGAGGTTTCATTAGTTCAGAAGATTAGGAGAGTTTCTATCAACTCAAATAGAGACCATTTTAGGAGCAGAAAGACTTCTTTTTCAGCCAGGGAATAAACTGGGTGAGTATGTGGAATGAATCATTAGGCAACATATTACGTGAAATGTGTAATTGTATTCTCTGTTGGACAAGCAGAAACCAATCAGTGTTATCATTATAACACTATATTTATGATCTTGATACACATTAATTAATTGTTTTGACTGAAAAATATTGCTGACTGCAGATGATCATAGCAGCTTAGTCAAAACATTTTCATATCCTTGGATTAAATGACTCACATATACATGTAATATTGGTTTTTAAGTAATTCAAATCAAATAATACTACACATAGTTCAAATAAAACTCAACTAGTATAAAGTTTTTAAGATTCATCCAATTTGGTGCATATATCAAATGATCTTTCTTTATTGCTGAATAGTCTTCCGTTGTGTAAACATATGACAGTTTATCTACCCACCTGTTGATGGCCATTTGTGTTTTTTCCAGTTTTGAGCTATTATGATTATAGCTCCTATGAACATTCTTTTACTCTGTGTGGTTTTATGAATGAGTTCTCTTTTACTTTTAAGAAAGCAGTAGTTGAATCCTGTATAAGTTATTTCAGAATATTTGAAATTTTGGGAAGCCATTTACCTCACTTTATGAGGATAGTAAAATGTTAGTAATAAAACTTGACAAGGATAGTATAAGAAGAGAATTTTATCTGGAACAATTTCATTTATGAATATAAAAACAAAAGTCTAAATAAAAATGAAACCCAGCAGTATATATATTATATATTATCAATACGAAGGTACTTATTTTTCAACTTAATATATCCGAAACTTTTAAATAAATGGCTTCTAAAATTATAATAGTCAATGTATTCTCTCCTTTAGTGGTACATGACATAATGGTGTATCTTTTCAATCAATGGAACTTTAGACTCAGTGATACATGACATTTAAAAAAAATTATGGCCATGTAGGTTTTATCCCAGGATGCAAGGGAGTTTCAACATTAAAAAAAATCTATTAATGTAATATACTATATTAATAGATTAAGACAGAAAAACCATAATATAATCTCAATACTTAAAAATGACCAAAAAATTGAATATCCATTCCTGATACATTTAGCAGTTTGGGAATAGAAGGCAATTCTCCTAATACTGAGTTTCTATTGAAAGTCTAAACCAAAGATCATTCTTAATGGTGAAACATTAGAAACATTCCCATTAAAACTGGAAGTGAAATGAGATTTCCTTCTATGAAGGAAATCCTATCCACAGTAACAGCAAAACTGTAAGGCACCTGAGACTATAGATAATAAAAGTTGTATAAGCTCTCTTGGAAAAGCATTCAGTATTATCTAAGCACATAAAAGAAGATATAACTTGTACATAACATAACTATGCATTAAGTAAGCTATATCTATAATTTTAATTAACTCAATACAGGTATGGAAAGAATCATATTGTAAGGATATCAGTTCTCTTCAGATTAATCTATAAAATCATTGTGATTCCTGTTAAAATCTAAATATATTTTATGGAACATAATTAACCAAATTCTAGTACTCATTTAGAAGAGCCATGGCAATTTAAAAACATGGTCTACTAGTATGGAGAGGTCATTTTAGAGCTCTCATAATTGAGACAGTATGATATTGGTCTAGGTATAGGCATATAGACGGGGTGACCATACCTCTCAGTTTGTCTGGGATAGTTCCTGTTCATGCTTATTTTGTTACTGCGCCTGGTAATTGCTAATAAGCTCCCTTTTGCTCTAAAGTCTGTTCAGTGAAATTGCGCTGGAAGGCCTGAAACAGATCCACTTGATTTATGATCTAGGTAGTATTAGAAAGGATGTCATTCAATAAATGGTACTGGGACAGAAAGAAATACAGTGCAGTCTTTATCTCACACTACACACAAAAATCAATTCCAGGGAGATTAAAGGCTTGAAATGAAAAGTAAGACTTTAAAACGTATAAAAGATAACGTAGGACACCGTCTGTATGATTCCTGGAGGAGGAGATAAGGGAGCTTTCTTAGGATGGAAAACACAAATTATGAGAGTAGAATGATGGTTGACAGGGGCTGGCAGTATGGGAAGTAGGGAGAGGTTGTTAAAAGTGTACAAACTTTATAAGACAAGTAAGATCTGAGGAGTTAATGTATAGCATCCTGATTATAGCTGATAATACTGTATTACTAAGAGGGTACAACAAGTATTCTCACCAAAAAAAAAAAAAAAGTAAATAGGTGAGATGATGGATGTGTTAACTCACTGGTGGGAGTTCTTTCACTATATGTATCAAATTAATCATCATTTGGTACACTTTAAATATTTTACAATTTTATTTGTCAATTATACCTCAGTAAAGTTGAACATAGTAAAAAAAACCCAAAAAAATTCAAATTATAAATTATAAAGATTCCAATAAATACTTTTTTACAAATAAGAAAGACACTACCAATAATGTGGAAAACAAGCTTATCTGTTGGGAGAAGAGATTTGTAATGTACCTAAATTGAATAAACAGAATTCCTGGATTAATCAGAAAATAAACAGCACACATACAGTATGAAAAAATGGCAAAGGATATTAAGCGACAGTTTACAGAAGAGAAATCTAAGATGACCATTGAGAATATAAAAAAGATTAGTAGTAACCCTGCTAGTAAAGTTGAAGATGTATGTGACTTTTTATTATAGCAGTTCCACTTTTAGATAGATAGCCTGGGGAAATGTTCCCATGTGAGCACAAGGAGATATTTGTAAAAATATTCATCTCAGAATTTTGTGTAGTAGCCAAGTAAAGACCTAAAACTATCTAAAATTGTTGGAAACAATCTAAATTCCATAATCAGAATTGATACATAAATTGAATATATGAAAATACTCCATATAGCAATTAAAATGAATGAACTAGAACAATATGTGTTAACATGGATACATATTAGAAACATAATATTAGAATAGGACCAAGTTGCAAAAGGCTGTGCATGATAATGGTATCAGTTATAAAGTTTAAAGACATTGAGAAAAATGCTTCCCATAATCTCAGTGGTTGTGTATATGTGTACTAATGATACAAAATATGTATGGATATGGTAAACACCAAATTCAGGATAGGGAATGGAGGAAGGGGATGATACCAGGAAGGATAATGGGATACTTGGAGAGTGTCAGTACTGTCTACAGTTTCTTGTTAAATATTTTCCATTTTATTATTTATTATAAGTATGTAAATAGTTTATTTGTCTTACTGCATTTTAAGTTTCTGTTTTTTACATGACCAAAAATGTTATTGATATTTATGTATCCTGTCTTTGTAATTCCTTTAGTCTCCTTTAAAATCTGAGTGAGATACCAGTAGCAGTTATGTATAGTGACTATATAGCTTAAAATTTTTTTAAACAAAGAATAAAATAACATACAGTTTTCCCCTCATCTAAAAATTGTCTAGATAATGTCTAAGGTTTCTTCCAGAACTAAAGTGTAGTTCTTTGATGTTTCTAAACCACAGAAAATCTTTTCTTAATATAGTATTTATGACAGTTATATTGTTATAAATTTTGAATGTTGAGGACTGTGAAGCCAGTTTCCTATACAGGTGATGTTTTTGGTCTATCTGCCTGTCTGTATTAAGCAATCATCTCATTTACAATAGGGGTCAGCAAACTATTTCTATAAAGGACCAGATAGGAAACATTTTAGGCTTTGAAGGCCATAGTCTGTTAGAATTATTCAGCTCTTCCATTGTAGTGGGAAAGCTGCCACTGAAGGTTTGCAACAGTTTTCATTATTCAAATATAAAAACAAACGTAAAAAACTGGCATGATTTAGTTTGTTATTAATTAGATTTGGATATCTTACAAGCCAGTTTTACATAAGATAGATCCTATTAAGAAGTTGTTTCAGTTTTCTGAATCAGCTTTAAGAAGCAGTTCTTTTTGTGTTGTAACAACCTGCAGTAATGGAAAATTTATTTATTTACATTTACGTTCAGAGTCTAGGAAGTACATTTTTTCCTGTTCAATGTCATGGGCTAGAAGGTAGTACATTTTGTGAGTATCAAGTAATCATGGCTCTTCTCTGTATGCACAAAGTAGGCGTACCATGGTCATGTTGGAATCCGTGCAAATCTAAAGGAAGGACGGTAAGATTAATTTAACCCGAATCAAAATTACCACAGTACTTATATCCAGAACACTAAAATTGGATGTGTTTAAAAAAGTTTTAATAAGAATCAGAGCCAGGATTTGAACCCATAAATAGTCTAAAGAAATATATGTTCTTAGAGTATTAATTTTAAAAGAAGTTGAGATTTTCAGAAAAAAATGGTTATCTTACCAAGATATTGATTGTATTTATTTTTCCCAACTGAAAATTGAATGTATCTATTTCTTCAGGGACATCAAACCTGACAATATATTGATGGATATGAATGGACATATTCGGTTAGCAGATTTTGGTTCTTGTCTGAAGCTGATGGAAGATGGAACGGTAAATAAAGATAAATCTTAAATTATTTTACCCACAGACACTTCCCTTGCTACTTGTCTTCTTTATCTGTTTTAGAATCCATCTATTCATTTTATCTATCAAGCATCCATCCATCCATTTGTCTTTCTATACTCCACTTCCTTCCTCAAAGGCATTTAGGCATACTTACTCATAACAGGGCTTATCTGTAAAGTCATATTCAACTACTTATATTAATTATTTTAAGATTGATACTGTACTTGAGATATTTTAACAGTTCCAGAAGAGTGAAGAAAATAAACCCCACATGGAAAAAGAAAATACTACTCCTTCTTCACTTTTATTTATTTTATCTTTCTTTACTAGTTGTCTAGTTTTCCTGAGGGACGGTGTTCAACAAGTGAATGCTTTTATCAGAAAGTCCTCTAGGCTGATTGAGTTTTATGTTACCATTTGCTTTAGTTTTGCTAACCCTAAACCCCTCTGTTACATTCTTTCACTCACGTAAAAGTTTACATGTTCCAATTTTATTCTGTGTTTGTTGTTATTGTTGTAGTATTTACTTCAGTTTCCTAGGTGTATAGCAGAGGTCCCAATATACCTCATTTTAATTGGTAGAAACTTTTTGGTAAGCAATTTAAAATAGCACATTGCAAAGGCCATGAAAATGTTGCATTATTCTGGACCAGTAATTTAACATCTGAAAATTTATCCTAAGGAGATAACTTTTGAAAAACAGATTATATGACTCTGCCTCTGGCCATGATACAGGGTATAATTGGTACCAAATTGTCTTTTTCACAGTAAATAACTATAAAACTGGATGTAATATTTGAGATAGCTGTTTTTAGGAAGTGGACAACAGGAAACAAAAGACTGTTATCTCCAACAGAAATGGATTCATGAGGTATGCCTCACCATTTCCCAGGATTGGAACCGTTTGCTGACTCTGATGCAGAGAGTTAGATATAAAGCAGAGCTTTACATTGCTGAGGAGGAAGAGATCAGAGTTGAGTTAGCTGAGGCAGCTGGAATTTGCAGGGCTTGACATTGGAAAGGAGGGAATTGTACAGAGAGAGGGCTGAAACATACGTATGGGGCTATCTCCTGATGGTTGGGCTGTATAGATGTAGTACAGTCATTCCTTCGTATCTGTGGGGGATTGGTTCCAGGAGCCCCCATGAATAGTAAACTCTGTAGATGCTCAAGCCCCTTATATAAAATGATGTAATATTTGCATGTAACTGATGCATATCCTCCTGTATGCTTTAAATCATCTCTGGATTACTTATAATACCTAATATAATGTAAATACTATATATATAGTTGTAAATACAATGTAAATGCTATCTAAATAGTTGCCAGCAAGTGACAAATTCAAGTTTTGCTTTTTGGACCTTTCTGGAAGATTAAAATATATATATTTATTGAAGTATAGTTGATTTACAATGTTGTGTTAGTTTCTGGTATACAGCATAGCAATTCAGTTACACACACATACATATATACTTTTTCATATTCTTTTGCATTATAGGTTATTACAGGATACTGAATATAGTTACTTGTGCTATACAGTAGAACCTTGAAGTTTATCTGTTTTATATATAGTAGATTGTATCTGCTAACCCCAAGCTCCTATTTTATCCCTCCCCTCTCTGTTTTCCCCTTTGGTGACTGTAACTTTGTTTTCTATGTCTATTTCTGTTTTGTAAATAAGTTCATTTGTCTCATTTTTTAGATTCCACATAAAGTGATATTGTATATTTGTTTAACTTTTATATCACTTAGTATGGTCATCTCTAGGTCCATCCATGTTGCTACAAGTGGCATTATTTCATTCTTTTTTTATGGCTGAGTGATATTCCATTGTGTATATACCACATGTTCTTTTTTTATTCATCTGTCAATAGACATTTAGGTTGTTTCCATGTCTTGTCTATTGTAAATGTTGCTGCTGTGAACATTGGGGTGCAGGTATCTTTTCGAATTACACTTTCCACTGGATATATGTCCAGGAGTGGGATTGCTGGACCATACAGTAACTCTTAAAAAATTTTTTTTGGATCCACAGTTGGTTGAAGCTGCAAATGTGGAACCAGCAGATATGGAAGGCCAACTATAAAAAATATATGAGAATTACCAAATAGATGGTATCCATTTAAAAATCTAAATTACTTGAAGTCAAGTAGGGCAGGAGGAGACACAGTGCTTGGGGCACTGGGATATTGGACCTGGAGAGCTAGTTAACACGTTTGTAACATGTGAGGCTTACACTAAACCTAACAGTCTAAATCCGAGTCCTGATAAGATAACAGAGTTTGAAAGTGGTCCTCCAAATTAAGAGGCTTGAGCTGAATCTTAGGTTTTCAATAAATCTGCCCTAAAAGGGTATAACGGTAAGCCAACCCATGTTCAAGGAGATCGGTTAGTATTTTTTTATCTACTTAAATAAGAATTAGTATTCTTCAGAGGAAGATAACAGAATTCATGCTATCTACAGTGTCTTATTGACAATGACCAGCATTCAATCAAAAATCACTAGACCAAAGGAAAATTGGGGGCAGGATAAGAGATTGTGATACAGAGTTAAAAAATAAAAGATAGTCAGTAGAAACCTAGGTAACACTAGGTTCGACTTGCCAGACAGAGACTTACTGAAACTATCATACAAATGTTTAAAGAATCAAAGAAAAATAATATTCTTAAAGATTACACAGACAAGGAATTTCAGCAGAAAAATAAATCAAATAAATTTTTTAGAACTTGCAAATTATAGTAACAGAAATAAAAAATTCACAGGAGAAGGTTAACAGTGGATTAGAAATGAGAAGAAAGAGCCAGTGATTTTGAAGACTGATTAATAGAGATTATCCAATCTGAAGAACAGAAAGGAAAAAAGTTAAAGCAAAATAAATATAGGTTCAGATATCCATACAGTTAGAATCCTAGGTATCCTATCTCAGGAATAGAAAACATTTGTAGGCTCATACTTACCAAATGTGATGAAAAGACAGGTCTAAGAATCCTAGCATATCTCAGGGTTATAAAAGGAACCACACCTGGCCACATCACTATTAAACTGCTGAAAATTAAAGATTAAAAAAATTGAATGCAGCCAGAAGAAAAAACACATTACATACCATGGGAAAATGGTAAGAATAACCACTGAGCTCTCATCAGAAATCATGGAATGATATCTTTAAAATGCTGAAAGAAAGAAGAGAAGTCCATAAACCAAGAATTCTATAGGAAGCAAAAATATTCTTCAAAAATGAAGGTGAATTAAAGATGTTTTTGGATAAATGAAAGAGGTCTGGATGCTAAAGAATATCCTTTATGCCAACGGAAATGATACCATTTGGACAATTAGATATGTATGATAAAGAATATCATATGTGATAAATAAGATCTGTAGGATAAAGAAAAAAGACCATTAATTTTTCTTTTAAAATTTACATAAAAGGCATCTGTATTAAAAGCAAAAATAACATTTTAATGTGGGGCTTGTGACATGTGTAGAAGTAAAAGATCTGACAATAGTCACACAAACAATGTAAGGTAGGTGTATGGAATTATACTGCTCTAACAATTGCACGTGTGTGAAATGTAAAGTGGGATATGGATAGTGCTAGGTATGACATGAGAGAGAGAGAGAAATAGCATGGTGTTCTTGCTGAGTTGGGAAAACGGATTAAAGTCAGGTAGTCTGTGGCATCAGGAAGTTGTGGTTCACTTCTGGAGAGCAGAGAACTACACTGGAGAAGAATTCCAGGCGAACGCTAGTGTTTCCCTAATCCTGCATGTTATAAGCTCCCTAGACTCAAAGCTGGGGCTCCTCTTCTGGTGTCTGATGTCCAGCCCTCCAAATCCTTGTGCGGTCCAGAGGGCACTGAGTACTGTTTCTGCCTAGATGAGTTTCCCCTGATCAGATTTATTCCTGATTCTAGTGTGTCTTCCTAGTCATTCATTCTTTATTGATAATCTCAAAATAAATTTCCTGGAAATAATAGCATGTTGGTCCTCCATGTAGAAAGTTATAATGAAGAAACCTTCTTTTTACTTGTTTGTTTCTATTTTACTTTTACTTTTTATCAAAGTGATCTGTGCGTATTTTAGAAGACTTGACACAAAAAGCCAGCAATACTTTGTCCTGGTTCTTCCTACCTCCAAGTCTCTTTTTCCAGAGGCAGATGCATACAAATCTTTTGTCTCTTTCTTCTATTGTTTCTTTTACTTACATATTTTTAATGATTTTCATGCCACTGTCTCTTGATCATTTAGTTTTAGGTATTATCTAATAATTTCCTGCCACAGAAGATGAGGATTCAAGTCTTATGCATCCATCTCAGCCAATCTTTACATTTCTTCTCTCTCTTCTCAATGTTGTAATTATCACACAGTCTTTCATTAAATCCTGTTCAGTTTTTTAAATGATTATACAAATGTTATGTATAACTGTGCCTTGCGGTTTGTTTTAATTACATTTCTTTTCTGGAACAACTTTTTGTTCTCCCTGGAGTAAGTGACCCCTTTGCTTTACTTAGTTTTTTTATGTAACCATTTATCCCCAAACTCTTCACCACACATTCAGAAATAGAGCAATTCTTTTTTTCTCTCAGACACAGTAAATAACTTAGTGGCTTCCCTGTCTGGAGTCCTGCATTCTTCCGTTCTAATCTACTGTCCTGTAGGCCTCCTGTCATTCTTGATTTCCTTTCTTCATCATCATGGAATTCACATGTTGCTCTCTAGTGTTGGATCCTCTGTTTCCTGAAGCGCATGTCTGTCTTTCTTCTCATTTGATGTAGCTGCCTGAGAAAGGTTCCATTGGAAGGAAATATTTCATAATCTTGGATGTCTGAGAATGCTTTCATTCCTACCCTCATACTTGATTGAGAATTTGTCTGGACTGGACATAGTATTATAGATTTGAAGTTATTTTTCTCTTAGAATTTAGAAGGCATTACATTGCCTTCTAATTTACTGTTGAGACATCTGATGCCATTCGAATTCTCAGTCCT